GTCTAGAACCCGCTCGTTTTCCTTATGAGCAGGAGAATAAGCTCATCAACGGAGCAATCCAGATCGAAAGGAGTACTGTTATTAGACTTTGGGGGTCCTGTCTGAGGGCGTGGAGGGCCACAGTCCTGCTCCACCTTCAGTCTCCCTGGAACCAAAGAGCAAATGCCACTTTTCCAGGCAACACCGTAGGAGACCACACAGAGGGTAGACTCTGCAGGTGGGCATGGAGGTCTACCCTGCTCGCTTCAAAGCCAGGTGAGGGCCGCCACCTTGCTGGACCTCCTTTGCGCACTTGTAATCTGGAGCGCACAGCCCTCTCGTGCTCACACCAAACAATCATTGTGAACAGGCAGGCAGAAAACCTGTCTCTCAGTGCTCTGTAAGCCGCACAGCATCGCATGCCTACCCAGGTTTGTCAGCATTTAGAAACCTCTCATTAGTTCCATTTCTTTAGACTATTTATGACTTCTGTTAATCATATGACTTCCAAATAACAAAGAATCCAGTGGTATTTTTAGTAAGAGAAATTAAAACCAGCGTGAGGAGCTATCAGGGATGCGTTCGTTACTATAAGTACACCTGTGAGCATCCTGACCATAAAAATAAAGAGGGGAAAATAATACACTTCAAATACATAAATCACGGCCGTAGAGTCTAGCCTGACTCAACAACCCTACAGGACGGGGTAAGCCTCATCTTTATCCCACTGAGAAGCTGATGGTTTTGAACTGCTGACCTTGAGGTTATCAGCCCAATGTGCAACCACAAGGAAGCATATCATTCATCTAGTGAAAGGAGCTCTCTCCTGCCGGTAATTCCTTAAAAGACTCAGCAAATGTATTATTTCTGTATTGTTAGCAGCACAGCCTTCCAGTTGACGATCCTTTCCCTGCCAAGTAGGAGTAATAGAGAGTCAAGCTTGCCCCACGGGCAAAGAGATTTATTAGAGAGAGAGAAGTACTTTGAGGCGTGAGAAAGGCTTACTGGTGAGAGAAACGTCTTTCAAGGGGAGTCACCGAGGGGCCGAAGGCAACCCAGACCATGTCTTGCAGAACCAGGAAAAGGAAGCATTTTTTAAGAGACTTTCGGCAGGAAGAGCATTATGTTTATTTGTAAGAGGTGGAGTTAAGGAGATTGGGTGTGCTCCCAACAGGTGTTCAAAAATGGAGTCTGCATTAAAGGTTTCTGTGTGGAGTGTCATCACTTATTATGGGATGGTACTATGAGCCGGGCAGCCAGGAGTCCTGTGACCAGATACTTCTTCCTTTGGGAGTCGACTCAAGGTCACAGATGTCTGGTCTACTCTTGCTCCTGTGTTCAATCTGAGCTGGCCAAACGCTGACTGCTGCGATCAGCGAGTGGAAACTCAAAGGCATCCTTCTTACAGAGAAGAACAGCACATCCTTTTTGCAGCGGGTGAAGAATTTGCCAAGGACGGAGGCTTTCGTCATAAACCACACAAGGAAAGTTAACTGGATGTGGGTGTGGTAAGGTCTGTCTGTACCGACCTGGGGAAATTCCTTAAAATCATTTGCACTTGAGCGATGAAGGAGGAAGAACTCAGCCTCTCTCTTCACCCATCTCAGTGTGACAGCGGGGACATCGGTTTCAAAGGTTTCTTACTTCGGCCCTCTAGACAGGCTGGAAGGAGCACTGGTGGCACTGTGGGTTAAGCATCAGGCTGCTCACTGATGGGTGGGCGGTTCAAACCCCCCCGGCCACTCTAGGTGAGAGAGATGAGACGAGCCAGGCTGCTTCTGTAAAAGAGTCCTGCCTTAGAAAACGTCTGGGGCAGTTCTGCTCCATCCTGTGGGGTGACGAGGAGCAGGAACCAACTGAACGGCAGTAGGCAGTGGGTGACAGTGTGGGGACCCAGCTTGGAGTTTGATTAGCAGTGGTGGCAATTATCAAGGTAATAATTGTTTACGTGTGGGGATTTGCAAGCGGCTGGTTTCAAGAGCTGTGGTTCGCAAGTTTTCCCTGTGCATTAGACTCGCCTAGGAAGCCTTAGCCCCTCCTGAGACTTCAATATAATTGTACTGAAGAGTGTCTCCTGGACAGCGAGGTTCTTCCAAGTGATTCTTGCCTGGTGCTGTGGTTGAGGACCCCTGTCCTGGAAGGATGAGTCACTCTGTCCCTTTGACCCTGTCAGTATTTCATGTCCCGAGCTGTCAGCACAGGCTGCATCCCAGACAAGCAGTGGTTGAAATCCCTAGTGCATGCTTGGTAGTCTAAGATTGACCCGAGTTAAGGTTCCTGAGCATCAGAGGGCAGGCTCCAGAGCGCATGTCTCCTGGGGGACATCGGATGACATGGCTTCTCACCCAGATGGAAAAGATAGCTGAGTCCCCAACAGAGGCGCCTGCAAGCATCGGGTTTTCTCAACAGGAACACCGATGCGATTAGAGACCTCAGACAAATGCTAGGTGGAGACGCCAGGGTTCTGAGTCATACAGCATAGAAGATTTTATTTTGACCTGAAAAATATTCAAGCCAGTTGTTAACACTTGGCTGCTGTAGCCTATAAAATCCTTTAAGGGGAGAAGAAGCTGGTGGGGGGAAAGGAAGTGATCAGAATCCGTGGCTGATTTTAAGACGGTGCAGCTCCAAGTGTAGTCCCTAGACCAGCAATTCCCCTGGGAACTTGTTCAAAATGCACATGCTCAGGCCCCACCTTGACCTAATGAGTCAGAAACTCTCCTAGTGGAGGCCAGCAGCATGCTGCCTAATAAGTCCTCCCAGCAACTCTGAGCCACTCCCAGGCTGAAAGACCGCTGATGTAGAACATCGAGAGACCTGTCTGTACTTACCTTCTGAAATTCCAGGGGTAACATGATGAATGAACAGCGCGCGCGCGCGCGCGTGTGTGTGTGTGTGTGTGTGTGTGTGTGTGTGTGTGTGTGTTTTCCCTCTGTATGACAGAAAGACACGCATTCTTGGTCTGTTTGTGATTTAGTTGTGTTCAGAATTTGCTTGATCCTCGTGCGGTCGCCTGATGTTTGTTAGAGAAGAAAGAAAGGATTGATGATGGACAGCCATGCAGTGGATCTACATCCAATTTAGGAAGTCCTCTTCAGACTCACGAAACACATGCAAGGGTGCCGAGTGCAGGACGATCACAGGCCAGGGTGGGAAGTCTTGTGGATCCAGTGGCATTCTAAGCATCTCATGGCTCCTCCAGCTCCCAGGGCTCTGGCTGCATCAGGCTAGCTTCATGTGGCTTCTTGTCAGAAATGTCTCCCAGGGAGTAAGCTTGCGTCCCATCTCCAGTGAGCTATTTGTCTCCTTAGCGCCTCCAAATGAGGTCATCAGGCTGCAACCTGATTGACAGGCTAAACTCCACCCCTTCATGCTTAATCCTCTCAAACTGACAACAGATTATATAACTACCATAGCCCCTGTTGAAAGAACTTTTGCAAGAGACCAAGCCAACTCCAAGTCCAGCATGTTCTGTTCCAGTGCCTACCTCTGACCCATCTCTCTGATGTTTGCCAACCATGCGGCCTAGTTGTCCAAGGTGTGGTGCCCTCGGGGCAAGAGAAAGCAAGAAGAGCAGAATGTGAGCCTTCCCTGTCTTCTGTCTTAACATGTGTGAAGGAAGAAAGCCCCGCCAGCGGGTGAAGGACTTGGGAAGGGTGCTGTACCCCATGTTTCCCCAGGACCAGTCACTAGTTGGCGGTGGCATGTTCCTCTATGGCAGCGGTTCTCAACCTGTGGGTCGCGACCCCTTTGGAGGTCGAACAACCCTTTCACAGGGGTCGCCCGATTCATAGCAGTAGCAAAAAAGACAGCGATGAAGTAGCAACAAAAACAATTTTATGGTTGGGGGGTCACCACCACATGAGGAACTGTATGAAAGGGTCACAACATTAGGAAGGTTGAGAACCACTGCTCTACAGGGTACTAAAAAAAACTAGCCTGTTTTCCTTGCAACACCCCCCCCCATCTGTGACAAATGCCCCGAGGACATAGAGGACAGAGACCCCTTCCTCTCTCAGGAGAGACATTGGTCCATCTCGCTCTGGCCGGCAATGATGGCCTCTCCCTTCCTCTCTGGCTGAAACCCAACTCTCTTCTGACGTTACTGTGCCAGGTGCCTTCGTGGGGGGGTGGGGGGGTCGACTGCTGGGATCCAAGGAGACATCTGGGAGCTAGCACAGAAAGGTCAAGGTCGCTGCAGACCTCTCCGTCATAGGAGCATGGCCCTCCCTACGCCTGAGATGGGCTGAGTCCAGACCAGAAATGCCTCAGCCTCCAGCCTCTGAGCGGTAGGAAAGACTTAGGGGCAAACTTTCCACAGAGACCTACCTTCTTCTCGCCAAGCTCCCCCAACCAACTCAGAGATGGATGATCTAAAAAGCAAGTGTCACGTGAAATGGCTCACCGCGAAGTAGTAAGGACACCCAAGTGAACCCACGCTCGCCTGGGTGCCTGAGTGTACCGTCCTCGACAGGGATCGTCATTGGAAACCAGGCTGGGAGTCTATAGGAAGGTGCTGGGAGTCGGCCGGACTTAGGAGCAGAATCTTTGGCGTGGTGACCAACGGGGACCTTGTTCACCACAAGTTAATAAGTCAGCATGGTTGCGTCCTTATGGCGTGTGGAGTAACTTGGCGCTGCCACAACCAACCCTTCGGGAAGAGACTACCTGACCACAGTAGAAACCTGTGTCTTCAAACCTCTCGGGGCCACCTGCCAGAGGGAACATGCCCTCTGTCCTCTGTAGGGTGTCAGGAGACGACGGGTCATTGGCCCCTCCAAGGTCAGCATTTAGGGCCAATAGAAACGGACTGAGGGAACGTGTAGTTAACAAGCAGAGCATCCCTTTGTGATCCGTCGCCACCAGGCTGGCCCAGCTCAGGAAGTCCCCCAGTCCCTGGGTCTGGGGCCACAGAGACCAGGGGCGCCAAAGCTCCTGGGCTCTGAAGGTTGGCTGCATCCGGGGAAGGCTGTACCCAGCAGGTCCGAGCTTCCTCCGCCTCCCTGCCCCCTTCCTTGCAGATCACACGGCAGCAGTACCAGAACGCGCTCACCGCCTGCCACATGGACAGCTCACCCCAGTCCCCTGACATGGAGGCCTTTGCCTCTGGAGGTGCCACCAAGACCCCGACTACCCGGGGCACGCCCCAGACCCCCAAGGACGACGCTGCCGTTACCCTCCTGAATGACAGGCACAGCCTGCCGTGTAAGTCAGCTGATGGCAGGGCTGGGCTGCTGTGCGGGCGGGGAGTCCGGCCTTGCCTTCCTCCCCGAGCCCTGCCCCACCATCTTCCACCTCCCAGAGCCCCGGGTTCGCTCCAAAGCAGCGCGCTGATGCACCCGCTCTTCTCCCCAGGCAGCCGTTCCGAAGGGCTGCGAAGCCCCAGCGAGGTCGTGTACCTGAGGATGGAAGAGATGCCCTTCACCCCAGAGGAAATGGCCCACCTGGAGGGGCAGCCACTCTCGCTGTCTCCTGCCTCCGCCGTTCCCGCGCGAGCAGGTCAGGAAGGCAGACCAGCACAGAGGGACACAGGGGATCCCCACTCGAGGGCCCCAAGGAGAGCTGGCAGGGAGCCCTGGGACCCCTGCATTGCAGACAACACCCCACTTCCTTCCAAGGCCAGGGAAGGTACCCTACCCTTTCGTGAGCACCTGCTGGGCATCGGGCCCAGCTCTCCTTCATTCTCCTGGGAAGACAGTGGGCAGAACCGTGTCTAGAGCGGGGTTTCTGCCCGGGATTGACCCTGGCTCTGTGAAAAGCTCTGCCATTTTAAGTCCGTTAACCTGAGCCGCCGCTCCGTTGTCTTAATGGATGCTTAATGTGGGTCTATCTAAAGCCTGGCCCGCCTCTCCTGAGGCTAGTTCCTCTACACTAAGTTAGATCACATACATCATGATCAGGGAACCCTGGTGGGGTCGCGGGCTACACGCTGGGCCGTGAACCACAAGGTCATGGGAGAAAGATGGGGGTTTCTGCTCCTGTAAAGGGTGACACCTCGGGACCCCACGAGGGCTGTTCTACTCTGTGGACTCATCGGGTCACCGCGAGGAGTCTGAATTGACACGAGGGTGATTTGGGGGGCTCTGAAGTCCGCATCTCTAAAAAGCGGTGCTTTGCACCGCGCACCATCGTGGAGGCGGGCACTGTTAGGCCTGTTTCGCAAAGAGGGAAACTGAGGTCAGTCGCTACTCCTCCTAGCAGGGTGCTGCCCTTTGTGCCCAGAGACCACAGGGAGCCCAGGGGGGGCCTTGAGCGGTGGCCCTTTCATTTTGACATTGATGCTGCTCCCAGCACCCAGCGCCCCACCAGCGCCGGGCCCCTTCTGCCTCCCTGAAATACCCTCCCCATATTCTCAACAGCCCCTAAGCCTTCCCCCTACGTCAGATGTTACCCCACCTGACCTTCCATGTAGACCTCAGTGCACAGCCTATATCCAGAGCAGTGACCTGACAGGTGCTCCTATATTGCTGAGGTCACTGAAAGAACAAGTTGGACCTTGTGGCTGACCCGAAGAATCTGGTATAAACCTAGTCACTCTCTTCCAGCATCTGAACTTGGAAATGGCCTTCTTTTTCACCTGCAGACACCACATCTAGTAGGGAGAGCTTGTGGCCAGGAAAAAAAAAATGCATCAAAGGCATGAGAGTGAAGGAGATGAGGTCATTTTAGAAGCCTAAGGGACCCCCGCCCCCTGGGGCCTGGAAAAGGACAAGGAGGTGCCCACGGCTATTTCTTTAAAAGCAGAAACTCTCAACTACCAAACTCCCCGCCATCCAGTCCTTGCTGGCTCATAGGGACCCCTTGTGGGTTTTCTGAGAGTGGCACTGTTTATGGGAGTAGAAAGCCCAGTCTTACTCCCTGGGAGCTGCTGGTGGTTTCGAGCTGCCAACCATGCAGGTTGCAGCTCAACGCGTAACCACTGCGCCACCAGGGCTCCTACGAAAAGCAGGGGTGGCATCAAACTCCAGCTTTTGGCGCACGCCATTTCCGCCACATCACTTTGCTCCTCTGGTTAGGTGCTCGGTGCATTGTCAGCAAGATGTGCACCCCTTTCCCCGTGCTGAGATGGGGAGGCGCCGAATCTCCACTAGATCCCATGGGAGAAGACCGGGGCCCATGCTTAGTCATAGGGGCCCCTGAATTCCCGGCTCCGTGCAGGGATGGAAGAGGCATCCCCAGTGGCTCTCCAGTGTGTGTGTGTTGTCTGCAGGCAGGGGCACAGGGGGGGCGGACAGATTGTCCTCTTCTCTTCCTCTTGCCAAAGGGTGGTGGAGGGGAGGGACTTCTTCCCGCCCGTCCATGGATAGTTTGATCTCCGCTCCTGTGCTCCATCTGTTTGTTCCTCTTGTGGCACCGATATGCCTCTTGCCAACTAAGTACAGCCAAAACCTTCCTCGGCCCCCCCTCTCATTTTGGTCACTGCTCCTCCACCCTTGTCTGGAACTTTCTGCTGTGGAGAAACATCAACCACAATCGCCTTCCCTCCGCTTCTGGGGGTGTGGCTTGAAATGTGCCACCGCGTGTGTGCGTGCTCACAGACACATACACACAAGTGCGTCTTTTTTTTTCTTGTTGTTTTTTTTTTGTCACACAGCCTCAGACAGCGAATGTTGTCATGTCACCCTGGACACGGAGACCAGCCCCCGCAGTAGCGACTCAGAGGAAACGATGGGCAAGAAGCTGCTGAGAACCTTGAGTGAGTAGCTCTTCACCCCACAGAAGCTGGTTGGCAAGCACTAGACTGCCACCCAGGGGAGCAGATCACCCCCCACCCGGACCCACCCACCCACTGGTGAGCTGGAACCACTGCCTTTCAGTTAGTAGCTGAGTGTTCTAACCATTGCGCCATTAGGCCTCCTTCACAGGATAGGGCAGGTCGTGGACTTTACTCAATCCCCTAAAAGAAGTCTCCACTCCAGGACCACTGGGACCCATTCGTATGGGTTACTCGTTGGGCTGCTGATAGCAAGATCAGCGGCTCAAACCCACCAGCCACTCCCCAGGAGAAAGGTGATGCTTTCTCCTTCCAGAAAGATTTATAACCTCGGAAACCCTAGGGCAGGGGTTCTCCACCTTCCTCATGCCGCAACCCTTTCATACAGCTCCTCATGTGGTGGTGACCCCCCCCAACCATAAAATTGTCTTCGTTGCTACTTCATCACTGTCATGTTGCTACTGTGATGAATCAGGCAACCCCTGTGAAAGGGTCGTTCGAGGCCCAAAGGGGCCACGACCCACAGGTTGAGAATCGCTGCCCTAGGAAGTTCTACTCTACCTACAGAGTCGCTATGAGTCACAGTCTACTGGAGGGGGCTGGGCTCAGCTGTTTGAACGTCATAGGTTTGTGGCTTTTCACGGATGTCCCGCCAGGCAGACAGTGCTTCCTGGTCTTCTAAAACTACAACTAGGCCCCTCTCAGCGCCAGGACTCCCTGAGATTAGTTCTAGCCAAACTGTCCAGGGCTTCTATTTCCAGGCAATCCGGGACAGCTGGGAAAGTATGCGTGTGTTGCCCAACTCTTCCAAACTGAGCCCCACAAACTGTTTTTCAGGTGGTCGAAAAAAGAAGAGGTCACCAGATGGGGAGAGAGCCTTGGAGAACTCCAACCTGGCGCCTCTGATCACATGACGGGGCCGAGGCCGCATTTGCTGGGTGTGTACGCTTCCAAAGCTTTGGGGGAGAACTGCCTTCCCATCACCTGCCTCACCCCAAGACTTCCACAGGTGACAGGGCGCCCCGTTCCCTTTCCACCTCTTCATCTTAGCTGTCGGTACGGCCCATCTCCCCTCTCTGCCTCAGTCGCACTGAGCACCTTCCCGCAACCAGAACGGAAGGAGGTACCTCGAGTGGGCCGCACTACGAGTGGTCTTGCCCATTGCATCGTGTGAGACTGGGGAACAAGTGACCCCCCTGACCGCCCTGGGGCTCCTGATGCCCTGCTTTAGAGCCTTGTCTGGAAAGTCTCCATCTCGCCCTCCAAAACAAGGTCATGTCCAGCCCGTATTTCATGCTCAGCATAACTCAGAAGGTGCCACTGGCAGCCTGGCAGGTGGAGGGAGGCTGGAGTAGCTCAGGAGAGGGCTGCATTGGGGGACGGACCAAGGAGTCCTCCAGCCCGCCCAGCAGAGGGACTAGGCCCTGTTGGTCTGATTGGTCTCCTGCAAGATAACGAACCCAGCAGCCTGAGAGAGTGGGTCTCTGCTGAATGGAAGGAATGTTCCTTGGAGCCTTGAATCACTGCTTTTCCAGGGACACATCTGTTTGGGCTCGAGCCCGAGGCCACCGATCCGTCAAGGCATCTGCTCCGGGAGAGGAGGCCCTGGCAGGGAGCTGGGGGCCAAAGATGGAACTTCAGGTTTTAAGTGCAAAGCAATGCAAAAAAGAAATAAGAGAAGGAGCAGGAGGAGGAGGAAAGAAATGCACATAAAGCAAACGCTAAGCAAGTTTAGCCATGATAAACCAGAGTGCCCAGGTCAGCCAAGGAGAATGCAAGCTCTCATGGGACCGTGGTGTGTGGTGCACAAGAACGTTGAAAGTTTCTCTTCCTTTGCAGTCTTTCCAACCCCCACCCTCACCCCTGACTCCTTCACAGCAGGTCAGCCTAGCGTCTACCAAACCCAAACCCCTTGACGTCCAGTAGAGGTCAACTCATCGTGACCCGCTAGGACAAAGTGGAGCTACCCTCTTTCTCCTGCAGAGTGGCTGGTGGGTTTGAACTTCCGGCCTTTTATTTAATCCCCTGTAGGTTAACCACTGGACCCACAGGGCAACTAAGAATTAACTGGGTGTTCTGTTTTGCACTGGGATGTTGGAGACAGTGCAAGCCCAAGTATATCCACCAGGGAGCAGAATGACTGCACATAACTATTTCAGAGGCGAGTGACCAAAGTTAGAGATTTAGAAGTAGGCGGAGGCTTCAAAAAATTCCAGGGAAAATGGAATGAAGACCTACTGGAATTTTACCACGAATATTCGAAAGCCTCTTCATAAGAGAAGTGTGGCTCTGAAGATCCATCTCCCTTTCTAAGCGATTCCCCACACCTTTGGGTCCCTGGGCCAGACATCCAGAGATTCGGGGCTGCCTGCTGTATCTCCCAACCATTCCCCAACTTGCCCCTGTGTTCTACCACCCCTCCCCACCTCCAGACCCGCGACTGCCATTTCCCCGTGCCCCTTCAGCCAGTCATCACACGGGGAGGAGGGACCGATCAGTCCTGTGTGCTGTTTGCATCTCACACGAATGCTCACGAACCCGTGGGAACTTTTAACTCAGGAGTCCCGAAACTTGGGGGTCCCTCGGTGGACTTCGGAGGGGCCATGAAACCCTCAGAATTGTGTGTGTGTGTTTATGCGTGTTTTTGAGAGAACTAATACTGTCCTGAGAGTCCCAGAGGTCTCAGGCCTAGAGGGTTACAAACCACTATTTTAGCGAGTGGGACAGTGAGTAGAGTCTCTGCAGTGCAGAGTCAAGTGAATCTGGGGCCTTGGGTGACAGACTTTGAGTTATAAGGAGGGGGGGGTTCTCCAGTGCCTGCCAAGTCCAGGGGGAAGGCTGGCACGCACCAAGAAGCGGGAGGACTCGGCGTCCTTGGTATACCCTGGGGTGGCACAGTGGGCCAACAACAGTCTATGGATCTTGGTGCCCGTCTCCCCACCCAATTGGAGCAGGTGGTTCAGACAGGAGGGTCACTGCATGTGGAAGTGATGGTGTTCTGGCTGGGGATGGCTTTCCCCCCATCAGTATATTATTCCCTTCAACATGCCCCTTGCCCAGCCTGGCCTGCGGCCCAGCAGTGCATGAGTTCATGTAGCTACGTCCACAACCACCCCCTCCCAGCACCTGCTCTTGCCGGGTAAGGACGGGCATGGTGTCAGTTCTTGGCACTAGGAGGCCTCGGGTCCAGACCAGCCAACAGTGGGAGTTCCAAGAGGGCGGCCATCAGGATGTAGCGTTGGTGCAGGATGACCGCTCGCCTGGTCTTTCATGAGCCTTCAGGCTTCCGGGCCCCAGCCATCGCTATGGCATCCCATCCGTCCCTTTGCCAAACCCCCAGGAGAGCCTGTCACCTGGCCCCTCCTTGTCCTACCTTCCTGCCAGTTTTTCTTCAGGTTCATAAACAAGTTCGGTTGGTTGGTTGGTTTTTTAAGAGGATTTTAAAATAAAGCACTTATGAAAGCTCAGAAACTGTAAATCATTTTTAAATAAAGAGAAAATGCCTTTCCTGGCATGTGGCTGTTTCCCTGTGTCATGCAGGCGGGTGCACGCCGCACGCAGTCCGGTTCGCTCCCCTTTGCCCGCCGGCCTGGAGAGGTTCTCGGGGCCGGGGTGAGGCTGCGGTGACTCACTGACTGGTCGGAGCTGGTGATCGACTCTGGGTAAGACATGGGTGAGACTTTGCAGGGGTGAATGCCAGAGGGGACAGCAGCCGCTGCCGCAGGAACCAGTCTGAACAAGCCTTGAGGAGATCTTGAGAAGCCACGCGCCTGTTCGCCGAAGCGTGCAGGCACTGGGCTGGGGTGCTCTGTGAGTTCGAGACTTTGGGCTGTGCCTCGGAAGAGCCCCCGAGATGGCGACACAAGATCACTTCTGCACAGAGCCTCCTACAGGATGTTCAAGGAACGTGACCGGCAGTTTCCAACCAAAGTCGGGGGACAGCAGAAGAGGAGTAGGCCCAACTTATTCATTAGTTTCCAACCCGGGCAGGAGGGAGAGAGCTGCCAGGCAGGTGTGTTTGGGTATCTAGTCTCATTGTGGGGAGAAGATGGGCATCTAATACCTACGACTAATCCATGGGGATTTCTCTCACCAGCCAACCAGGGTCACTACTGGCCTTTGCCAAAAAAAAAAAAAAAAGTTAAGATTCTTCCCCAGGGCCTTCCTAGGGGCTAGTCATTTCATTCACAGCAATCATAAATAGTTTCCATTTTAAAAGCCTTTTCGCAGTGGTGCTAAGGGTACACTCACCCGGTTCTTTCTCAAAAGCAGCCTGGGGAGGGGGGGCATCGATGACTCGCTCTGTGGTACAGGCTGAGAAACAGGCTCTACGAGGTCAGGGGACTCGTGGGAGATTATCCAGCAGGGACGTGGCAGAGCTCCGAGGTCCCAGGGGCGTCCTCCTTCCTCGAGAGCAGGAGGAATCTGAGACCCACTCACTACCATCAAGTCGATCCCAACTCTCGGCGAGCCCGTCAACAGGAAGCACTGCCCCTCGCGGTTTCTGAAACATCTTTACAGGAGTAGAAAGCCTGGCCCTTCTCCGAGTGGCTGGTGGTTTCCGACGGCTGCCCTGGCAGTAGTTAGTGGCCCACTGGGTATCCACTATGCCACCCGGGCTCCTTGTGGCGTACCCTACTTCTGAGATTCCCAGTGTGCCCCTGGGTGGGCACAGGCCCTGAAAAGCTCTGCTGTAATAACGCCCACTTCACTCACCCCGCTCGGCTTCCCGAGTGCACAGAGCCCCTCCCTTTCTTGCGTCTGAACACGATGGAAAACAGCACACCCTTCCGGGAACAGGGATCACAATACTTGGAATAAAAGGTCCTGTTGCTCTTGAATCAAGTCTGACGCCCGCCAGCCCTCAAGGAGAATAGAGCTGCCCTGGGGTTTCCAAGGCTGGAATCTCTGCCGATGTCAACTTTTGCCCGTGGGGCAGCTGATGGGTTCAACCCGCTGACCTGGAAGGACAGGCTGCCCAGGTCCCGTGGAGGCCAGCGGTTACTTGTAGCCTTTCGGTAATGGTGCGTGCCTTTGTCACTGTGTTTCCTAAGCGTTGGCACTCGCAAGCCTCTCAGGAAAAACGTGAAGTTCTCCCTGAGAAATAAAACACTAAGGATAGATTTCTAGCGAGTGAGTTTTGAGCGTCACAAAGACCACTTTATCTAAAACCTTTTCACTCGCCAAGAACCGGTGTTTGCCCCTTTGGGGGGTAAACTGCATCCTCGTGGGGAGACTGCCTGGTTGGAAGCCGATTAGGGAGAACGGTAGGTTGGCAGAAGGAAGGGCTAGTCCGTTTCTAGTTTGCTTTTGTCTCCCCTGCCTAAGCACAAGCGTCTCTAAACCAGAAGGGAAATGTGTGGCGATCAAAAGGAAGGTAGAATGGGAGGCCATGAGGACACGAGTCCTGAACCCTCCAATCACGAGACCCTTCCAAGAGACCCACCCACGTAGCAGTGTGGGGGCCACAATGGACAGGACCTGTTCTCTCTCTCTCAGGCCTGCTGGGGATCCAGCCCAGATGGTGAACGATCTGCAACCACATCTGGGGGAGGACGGGGGCCCAGGAACCAAAAAACGTGGAAAAGCCAAACCAAAGGCCACAGGTGACAAGCTCCAGGAAGCAGCCTGCGTGCTGCACCGGAGAGGAGGCGGCAGACCCAATACAGGTCAAACGCTGGTGCGAGGCCGGGGCTCTTTTATCACTGAGGAACTCCGGCATAGAACGGGTGCCTCGCCATGCACTGGAATTTACCCGCTCCAAAAAGCCAAACTCGCTGCCACCAAGTTGATGCTGTCTCCAGGACGGGGTAGAAGTGCCCCTGTGGGTTTCCGAGACTATTAACTCTTCACGGGGGTCTTAAGCCCCGTCTCTCCCTCGGAGCGGCTGGCGATGCCGAACTGCTGACCTTGCAGTTAGCGATCCAACACAAAGACACTACATTTCAGGGACAAGGTGGAAGAAACAATTTCACTGGGGGAGAGAAGATGGGAGTTCATGAATCCAAGACCTCTGCTATTCCCTGGACTGTACAATTCTGAGGACAAGTCAAAGGAGTCAGAGCGAGATAAACTACCAAGCATGACCTGGAAACATGTTGAAACGCCACACAGTAGCCCTCTTGTTTTATGTGCGATTCAGCCCCGACAGGCTACAAAACTGGAGACTCCTGGACTCTGCAGAGAACGAGACTTAAGTGTCATCATTACCTCTCTGGAGCAGGAGGTCCCCCCGCTGCAACAGGTGGGGCCGGTGTTCTGTAGGTCGGGGGCCTCTGCACAAGAAGCCTTACCAAACAGCCCAGAGCACCGGTACAGTGAGCATCCTAAGGAGGTGTGGCATAAGAATGCATTTTAGATATGTCTTTACCAGTAAATCCCTCTAAGATGTTCATTTTGGATTATGACTCAATAAAACCATTGATAAAATCAGTAATTTAAAAAAATAATAAAAAGTACATTTTAAGTCATGGGTCACAACCCACTAGCGGATCACAAAATCAGTCCCATGGGGTCTTGATTGGCAAGTTCATTTTATTTTCAGTAAAGTAAAATAGAACACCATAGAATGGACTTGAAAACAGCACTGTACCACATGCAGCAAGGGGAAATATGATGTTGGGGAAGTGTGTGTGTGTGTGTGTGTGTGTGTGTACACACTCGTGCATGCGGGCCACGATGTAGTTTGTTTCTCATCGCAGTCACTCGAGAGACAGGGCCACAGAAAGAGCAGGAGACATGAGCTGAGTCACAATGGCAACTTTTAATGACTCAACCAACACCCACAATCACACTGAGCTACTTCCACACAACTTGATCTTTGGGGCTGGACTTTGCACCGAGTCCAACGGCAGACACGGAGAAGCACAGGAGCGTGTCGCGCGGGCAGCAGTCCTGCTTCTGTGGGGAGGGGCAAGAGAGCTACGCCTCATAATCAAAATACTTTATTCTTCTTTAAATAAAAACGTGCGTTTGCTCTGGCCTCCCTGAAGGCGCTAATCCCAGGCCCCCCTCTTCTCTTCATGGGCGTTCACTCCCAGTGGGACCACTTTTAAAAAGAGGCCGCCTCTCCAGGGAAGTCACAGCAGGCAGGCAGTCCTTCCGTGGTTTCTACGACGGGATAGGTACAACGAGGTTGGTGCAGGCAGGGGACACACACGACGGGGGGCCACTTTGGTGGTGCTGGTTTGGGCAGTGCTGCTTCACTGGATTTTGGTGATGGCTTCGTGGATCGAGGTGGCCACGTAATCTAGATTCTTGGTGGTCAGACCACACATGTTGATCCGGCCACTGGGCAGCAGGTAGATGTGTTTCTCATTGATCAAGTATTCAACTTGTCTAGCTGTTGAGAGCCAAAAGAAGGTAACATCAGGGCGCCACGAACCCTCAGAGCAGCGGCCACTGGCATTCAGATGACAACTACACTTTCCTTCTTTTTCGCTGAACTAGAGGCACCAAACCAGGAAGAGCTATTTCATCCAACAGCTTGGCACCGAGGACAATAATCCTGGAAAGCACCCCTTAGCAGTGAACTTTGCCATCCGCAGGGAGTCCAGTCAGGCTCTGAGTCACTCACTGCCTTTGGTTGGGACTGCTTCCCAACCAAATCTCACACCACACACTCACCAAGCTACCCCTAGGGATCCATTCAAAGCCACGTCAGACTTCGGAACACCCCACTGACATGAATAGCGCGTTATAGATGTGTCCTTTGTCTCATCCCTACCCCGGGATTGCTTTACCCACACCTTTCAGAATTCCACAAAAATGCCTGAGGTCAACAGCCCTACCTGGTGGCAGGAACAAAGAACCCCGAGCACATGGCAGGGGAGATGCTCAGTCTCTCAGAAGATGCTACTCACCCGCCTCCAGGCCGGACAATCCACGCCCCCCCTCCCCGGCCCCGAACACACATGCATCCCTTGTTTCCCACACTAAGACGTCTGCTTTGGGAGTGTTGTTTCCTTCCCCCTGATCTTTCTGCCTCTGAGCCGCTCACTGCCACCACTTGGTCTACTCTCTCATTAAAAAACAAACACTTTGGAGAAGTCCAAGGCTAACGTGAGTGATGTGTCTGTAGTTTGTTTTTCGGGGGGAAGTCTGGAAGTTCTGGAGTGACATCTGGATTGACCTCTAGGGGGTCCCTCTCGGCCTCCAGCCCGCACACTCTCCTTAACGGGGCGCAGACCTTTTGCGCTTCCGTCTGAGAACACTGAGGCAAAAGCCATCGGGAAATGGGAACGGCTTCACTCCCCTCGGCTAGGCACAGTGAAGAGCCGGCCCTCTCCAAACTTGAGGAGTTTATCCTGAGAGGGGAGAGGACTGGGGGGTGGGTGGGAAGCAAGGAGCTGACCTCATGGGGACTGATGGACCAGGTGACAGCTACTGGAGACGTCCTCAAGAGCACTGGCTGCGAGGAGCTGGCCGTCCGCCTACCTGTGCACACGGACTCACAGTGACGAAGCCACTTACGGTTTAAGCCCGTGAAACTGAACATCCCGATTTGCTCAGTGATGTGATTCCAGGTCCCGGGGGTCTTGAGGGCTTCTAATCGTGCTCTGAGTTCAGTTCTCATGGTCAGAATCCGCTCGGCCATTGTCTTCACATTCCCGGTCCTGAGGAGGGAACCGCGGTGTTAACGCTAAACTATGGCACGCAGACTGAAAATCTGTAACGGGAATGGGATCGTGACCTGCCTGGTAGGGTTTGTGGATGCATGACTGGACAGGACACTGCTGACGTCTAATACTAGCCGGGTTACAACAGCTGTAGCCCCCCTGACATTGCTAACTCAGGCTTCAGTGAGGTGCTAGAGATCCAGCTACTCAGAAATGACTGTTCCAAAATGCGACCAGCTAGAGGACAAGTAGAGAGGCACACGAGGGGCCCCCAAATTAGACTGGCTTGAAGTCATTCTATTTCCTCAGGAATGTCTTCCTGTGTTTCCCAGCATTCGGGGGAGGGGGAGAGTGGGGAAACCAGCATTCCGTGAGTGCCTTCCTTCCCCGCAACCCCAGTGCTGCGACAGGCCCCACTGAGACCACTGCCACCCTGACTGGACAGAACGACCTGAGAGGCAGGAGGGTCAAGTCCTTTGGTCCTGCCTCTGCCGCAGACAAAAGGCCAAAGACCCAGCTGAAGTCAAGGGGACAGCTGCTCGACCCTGCCACCCCCTTGCTCAGGAGGCCGGGCGCCCTTACCATTCCTTAAAGAGCTGAGGGTCCGAAAGGGTATAGGCCACAATCCGAGCTCCCTGTGCGGGCGGATTGGACCAAGTAATCCGCACAATCTTCTCCATCTGCGACAGGACCCGGATGATGCTCTCGGATTCTTTCCCCACCACCGTCAAATTCCCCACTCGCTCATCTGAAGAGAGAGGGGTGAGACTCAGCTTGGTCCGCAGGTGCTGGGGTGGGGTAAGCGGAGCCGGTGCCCCGGCGAGAGGTGGGCAGCGGGGAGGCGAGGCTGTGCCACTCACTGTAGAGCCCGAAGTTCTTGGAGAAGGACTGGGCGCAGAAGAGCTCGAAGTCTTCCGACACAAAGTAGCGAACAGCCCAGGCATCTCTCTCCAGGTCTCCAGAGGCGAAGCCCTGGTAGGCCGAGTCAAAGAAGGGGAACAGAAAGCGGCGCTGTGGAGAGAGAGAGGCAGCTGATCAGGACCCGGTGTCCTCGGGGACCAACCTCAGTTGCCCCCTCCCCAGCCCCCCGTTCCTGGAAGGACTCTCAACCAACCACTGCCCAGCCCGCCCTCCAGCAGTCTGTCTCTCTGCTTTCTGACCCCAACCACCTCCACCCATGGAGGCAGCCTTCCTTTGTCGGAGTAGACCATCCTAGCTGGCGAGGCGCAGCTTTGTCAGCCATGTGTGTTTTTGAGGTGTGGAGGGGATGTCCTACGGTGGCGGGATCCTTCCCAGGAATTCCTGGTGTGCTAACGCTTCGTTAAGCACAGGCTTGGGATCCCCAGGGCCTCCGCATAGACCCCAGGCCACTGTGCTTGGTACAGAAGGCAAAGTAGAGTGCTCCCTAGTCTTACTCCACTGCCTGTTCCTTCTGCCGAGTGAGTGCTCCCTCTAAGGACGTCACACTTCCTTGTCCCTAACCACCCAACCCAGAAGCCAGGGCATCCCCTGACTCCTACCCATCGAGCTGAGCCCCTACATTAGTCAAGTGCCAAGTCCTATCATTCCTGTCTTCGGAAAGTTCCCGAATTCTTTCCGTTTTTCTCTTTTCCTGCCGGTGCCTACTCCAGAACACCACCAGCTCCTGCCTGGATGATTCTCAGAGCTTCCCACCTGGTCTCCCGCCCTACCTACTCTTTCCCGCCCTGACCATGTCACTCCGACTTCAAAGATTTCAGTGGACACTGCGGAAGTCTAACTCCCCAGCAGGGGATCCAGGCCCGAGCCTTGCACTGACATTCCACCCAACTCCCTGTGAACTTGACCCCATAACAAGACGGACTTTCACTTCCTTAAATGGACCCTGGGCTTTTGGCCACACTCGCTCCTCAACAAGAAACTGATCTTCCTTGACAAAGCCCATGACCTCCCATCAGTCAATGCCCGAATTCCTCCTTCCAGCCTCAACATGGAAACCCCTTCTTTCCAAAAGGCTTACACACACACACACACACACACACACACACACACACACCAATATCACCAACACTGACAGCCTACATTCCCAGACTAACAGTGGCTCTCCTTAGGTCACAGGATTGAAACTCACTGCTGTCAAATTGAGTCCATCACAGCACCCCATGGCACCGAGCAGCACTGGCCCCTGGGGTTTCTAGAGCTGTGGATCTTTAGAGATGCAGATGGCCAGACCACTCTCCTAGAGGAACGGCTGGTGGATTTGAACAGCCAACCTTTGGGGTAGTAGCCAAGGGCTTTAATCACTGTGCCACCAGAACTCCTTACAGGATTTATAAACCAAACCAAAGTCGCTGCCATGGAGTTGCTGCCAACTGATAGCAACCCCGTAGGGCAGCGTAGATCTGCCCTGTGAGTTTCCAAGACTGTAACTCCTTACAGGGACAGGAAGCCCCATCTTTCTTTTTCTGAACAGCTGGTGGTTTCGAACTACTGACCTCGCAGTTAGCAGCCCAATGTATAACCACTACGCTACCAGGGCTCCGAGAGTTAGTATTTATTTGCTGCTTGGGGCTTTTTTCCCATTTCCAAAATTCCTCCATAAACAGTTATCTCTTTTGAGTACATTAAATAAGAGTGTTTGTTGTATGTAGATGGGGGGGGGGGGGGGGGGGGGGTTGGAGTTCTTTTTGGATTTCATCCATTTTTTCCCTCGTGGTCTGGGTGACAGTTTACAGAGAATTTTGATTCTCCATCCAATAATTCACACACAGTTTGTATCCTGACTGCAGTCTCTTCCCAATTTCTCCCAATGTCTTTCCATGCCTCCTACCTTCGCCCGCTCCCTGGCTCCGGCACTTCATCCCAGGGAAAAGGCTGACTGTTCTAAGGAGTGTGTACCTCCCTGGTGCCCACACCGACACCCACAGGACACTCTGAAAGGGCGGTTGGCTACCTTCATGACAGTGGCGATCTGCTTCCACTGCTCCGGAGTTGGGTCGGTCCCAGTTGGGTTGTGTGCGCAGGCATGGAGGACAAAGATGGAGAACTCGGGAGCATTCTGAGAAGAAGGAAGCGATGTCATGAGCTCTGCCGGGCGGGAATATCGGGAGGCAGACTCAGAAGCAACAAAGAGCAAGCACCTGGGCAGCCGGACTGCCACCTGTGTGCCGCTTCAGAAAGCTCCACCTCTCTCATGCGGGGAACATCTCTCGGACTCTGGCTTATCAGCTGACCCAGAGACAACGCCCCCCCCTCACCCCCCTGGTGCTCGGACATCGTAAGGGTCTGTGTCCTCTTTCTCCTGCATCGCCTACCTCCATATCAGTCAGGAGCCCCTGGAGGTCCAAGCCTCTCTTCTCCGCATCCCAGTAGCGATAGGATCGAATGTCTTTAAATCCAGCAGCGGCAAACACAGCATTATGATTCTCTGCAACAAACGTGTAGAAGGCGGAGAGCTTTCACTAACACACAGGAACACCACAGTGAAGGGCCGGCTCAGCCTCTAGGGTGCAGGTTCCCCAGCCTAGTTGGCCCACCGCCCCCTTTTCAGAGGGAAAAAAACACATTACGGGGCACCCTCCTGGCAATGGAGAACCTTTGTACTATATAGCTCACAATCCAGGACAAAATGTAGGCAGCTGCTTCTGCAGACCTTCCTAGATCGTTCCATGGCCACTCCTGGGGGGGGGGGGGGGGGGGGGGCGCGGGATCTCGCACTTTGAAAAAGCCTGTTCTAGGGCCCTCACACCGGCCCTCACACCTGTTCCACCGGCCAATGGGCTAACGTCAAGGTCAGGCATTAAGATTTCAAAGGATGATTGTGACTAAGCTTAGATTCCACCAGTCGTGTGAATGCCAAACGTAGATCCTCCTACACTGGTACTTCCTGCACCCACGTTATGCACCTTCTCTAGAGTCTTTCCACATAAACGAAACATAGGCCAGCCAACCGTCTTGGGGGGAAACATTGAGTCTGACTTGATCCCCAGGACTCTTAGGAACGGCCATAATCCTCTCCTCAAGTCAATACCAAATGCCAGTTGTCCTCGGCTGGGTTCCACGTCCTGTGTCACAAAGAAGCCTCTTTGTCTCCTCCAGCCACGGCTCCAAGACTCACCCCAGGTTGGCGAGGAGACGTAGACAGGCGTGTCCTTGTTGTTCACTCCATTGTACCATCGCGCTAAGAACTCGGCTCCGATTCGAAGGGCACCTGTTCCCCCCAAAGACTGTACCGCTCCCACCTGAAAGAGAAGCAGCAAGGAAAAGTAAGTACCATTAATGAGCACTTAGAGTTGTGCCTGCTTCTGTGCTAAGCCCTTGAAATAATGACCTTATCAGAGGCTTAGGACACCATGGGGAAATGCTGCTATTGTCTGCACACAAATAGCGCAGGCACAGGCCAAGGCAGGGAGGTGAAGCATCTTGCCCAGAGTTATCAGCTAGTGGGTGAGCCAAGTCTTCCACCGAGGAAGTCAGACTCCAGGTGGACTGTCCTCATTCAACACCAAGGTCAAGGTCCCATGAGTGTGTGCTCTGGAAGGCAAAGTCTCTTCAGTGCCCATCCCAAGATCAAAGTCCCCTCGAGCAGAAGCCTGGAAGACGGTCCTGCTAGCGTGTCACTGAAACCACTCTGGGTTACTCCTGCTCATCTTTCTAGCTCATGTGTGGGAACGCAAAGGCTCGAACAAACAAAGGTGCTATACCAACTTCCTCCTCCTCCGCTTCCTCTCCTCAAACGGTCTTGCCGGAGCCATGAAAGGTGCCCTATGCGCTACTGTGCACCTAGTGCCCTCACAGACATCCCCCTTTGACCCTCTCAGAGCCCGTTTGCCACAGGGCTACAACACTGGTGGGGAGGGGCAGGACTGGGCAGAACACCCGGTCTTGTTCTACATCTAATCACGGTGCCCTGCGTATGATGTCCTGCCCATCGAGCTCTAGTTTTATCATATTAAAAGTCTAACGATCAGAGCTGGAAACACAGAGAATCCCCCAGGACAGATAAACCCTCAGGACCAATAATGAGAGTAGCCATACCAGGAGGGGAAGAGGAAAGTGGGGGAGGAAGGGGGAATGGATCACAATGATCTACCTATAACCTCCTCCCAGGGGGATGGACAACAGAAAAGTGGCTAAAGGGAGACATTGGTCAGTGTAAGACATGAAAAAACAGTAATACTTTATCAAGGGTTCGTGAGGGAGGAAGGGAGAAAAAATGAGGAGCTGATACCACAGGCTCAAGTAGAAAGAAAATGTTTTGAGAATGATGGCAACATATGTACAAATGTGGTTGACACGAAGGATGGATGGATGGATTTTGGTAAGAGCTGAACGAGACCCCAATAAAATGATTTAAAAAAAGAAAATTCTAACGAGGTTCCAAGCACGACTTGCTCAGCAGAGACACCCCAGAAATCACATGCTGCCTGGGTGCCTCAAGGATGGAGGCAGAAGGAAGGGCAGGCCGGTATAAGAGGAAGGAGAAGCACACCAATCTGAGCACGTGGCAACCCCGGTGGAGGGAGGAGTGGCTGGGGGTAGTGGTCAAAGGCCACATTGGCCTCACCTACAGGTTGCTTTTTCAAAGATGAGAATAAATTCACGTACTGTGTGTAAATTTTTAAAACGCTTTGAAACCGTATCTAGATATTGGGGTTTGCTGTGACACAGTCCAGCTTTGGGGAGGAGGGGAGAGGGGAAAGAGGGGGCGCTACAAGGCTGATGCCATCGCGGGGTGATGGAGCGTGTGTCGGGTTAGGTAAACGGAGGGGCAACGAAGGAGAAGCAGGCCCGCAAGGAGGAGGACTGGCCCATGGTTGCAACAAGGGGCTCGGGCACAGTGACCATGGTACGGATGGCGCAGGGCCGGGCAGGGTTTGCTCCGCTGTGCATCACGTCGCTGGAGGTCGCAGTCAGCTCGACGGCACAAACACAACAATGGGTACACATCAGGGCCGGGCTGGGGTTGCTCGCTCATGATTCTGTTTTAGTTACTTTCATATTTATTCAAAAGTCCACTACCAGCACCACCCCCAAAAACCATCCTCCTTGACAAAAAGGAAAAGCTTCCTAAGTCACCTTTGAAACCAATAAAAACACAAGTAAAAGGGGGAGCTCTACCTCTTTGTAGCATAGTGATTACGCCTTGGACTGCTGACCCCACAGTCGGCAGTTCGAAACCACCAGCCGCTCTGTGGGAGAAAGACAA